AAGAGAAGGTAGAACTCCTAGTCGGAGTGGCAATTCCTTTGGACTGGAGAGCAGTCAAAACAAAAAAATAAAAGATCGGAGAGATCTGATTCCACCACACAGTCTGGTCGGACTACGTATGAGGTCCTCTCAAGCCTAGTCGGACTCAGCTCCGTGAAGACACAGCAAATCAAATTCAAAGTGCACTACGTAAATGCAAGAGAGAATTGAGTGGTGTCCAAGGTGCGAGCCAGGCGGCGGATCGTGCGGTAAAGTCTGATAAAACGTCTCAGTTGAGATCCCCTCAGCAACGAGTGTCCTGGTCCGAAAGCATGAACTCCGAGTCCCAATCACATAGAGCGAGGTAACTGACGTCAACATATTTGGGACTGAGGGGCCCTTCTTGTTTGGGTCCGGTCCCACTGAGTTCCAAATGGTCCCAGTGGAGTCAGAACTGGGTCCCAACCAACAAGAGTTCCACAAAGCCCTACTTTCTGCCCTACCGAATTGAAAAACGAAATTTAGCCCCAGAAAGAACCTACAGACTACAACCGTTCAGAAAGAAATAAACAAAGCACTGTAGAGAGATATAGCATGGCAAGCAAGATACTCCATTCATTCACTCGTCAGGTGAGTAAGCAGTTCATACACCTCCCACACAAAATCAAGACTATGGAGGATGAAAGAACAACCCAAAAAACCCCAACAGGCAGTCGATTCCATGCACACACACATGGGCGCCCCGGCGGCACGACACTTACCTGAGTGGCCGGGCTCTTGAGATGAACGAACTCACCCCCCTCTCACATAGTCCTCCTGACCTAATTAGCATCCTCTACACGAGTGTCCTATCATCTAGGAGGGTCAACATCTACCCCAAAGTACGAAGTTGGATCCCCCGTCGATGTTGAAGATCAAAGCAGCAACTTGCAGTCCGTAGGTGCAGATATGGCTGCCACCCTCAAGCTCGCCTAACTTGAGGGGAGCCCTAAAGTCACTCCTCGTCTTCCTTGAAGTCCAGATTCAAGTTGTAGGTGCCCTTCATTGTCGCCTCTCTCAAGTTGCATCACGAAGTCCCACCTTGTGTCTCTCCACCACAAACATGCACTCAAGCAACCTGGTTGGGTCTAGTGTCGACCCTACACGGCCCTGCCAGGTGGGGGCATCTTCCCTTTCCCACGCTGCCCCACTTAACCCTAACTTCAGCCCTAACCCTAAGTAGTTAGCCCTTACCACTAGGGTTAGCGTTATGGCAGCAAAGTCAACTCTCGCCAGCAAGTAGAATCCGCTCTGATACGAATGTTACGATCCTGGCCAATTTCGAAGAATACATTCATCAAAAAGTACAATGCCATCCAATTGCAAGAAGAAATGAATGAACTTGAGAGGAGAGAGAGAGGAAGAAGAAAAAGAAGTAAGAAAGAAGAAGAAGATGATG